CACACAAACCCAAACATAGCCATTATTTGCAACCCACGCTGTCTGAATTTTGCGGTGCAGTATATCAGCCAAACAATGTATACAAAATGCATATTCTAAGGTAAAATGTGCACCAAAATACATTAGTTTAGAGGAAAACACTTCACATAAATATGTATATTAGACCAAATTGCTTACAAAAAAAGGGAGATTTTGCATAAAACTGCTGAAGAATTTTCATGATGATCTAAATAATAATAATATTAATAATAATAATAACAATTGCAAACTGGTGTGAAAATCTGGAGAACTGAACTTATGAGTGGAAAGATAAGAAAGATGAGAAAATGACAGAAACCAAAATTGACGGATTTGCCAGTCTTTAGCTGGGCCACCTGCTTTTCTCTTTTTTCCCCATACCCCATCTCTTTCTCTCTCTCTCTCTCTCTCTCTCTCTCTCTCTCTCTCTCTCCCCACAATTATCAAACTACTGGGGGGGGGAGGGAGATCACTCCTGCCAGAGGTCTGACCCAGTCAATTCTAGAGGGCTGTTGTTACGAGGGCCACATAAAAAGTGACTGAGGGCCACAGGTTGACTGCCCTTTGTTACAGTACATAAACCTGATGTGCTTAGAAGAGCCATATCTTTTGAGAAATAGTAAAACACAAACCTGTAACCTTGTTAAATAAAGGCAGACTCCCGTTGCACCTGGCCACTGTGCCATACATAGTACCTGCAAGATTAATCTTTCCTAATAAAACTCTGGCCCTGGATGTTAGTCCCCTTTGGGAGCTAGACCAGAGAGAAGGTTAATAAGTGCTCAACCACCAAGCAGGCAAGGTTGTTTACAGCCTCAATAGAGGCAGCATTTTATAGGGTGGGTTTTATTTTCCTCTGGTGAGTCACTGCCGATTTCGTTCTCAGCCAAAGCCAAGCCAGAACGACCTTGCGGTGTGGTTGCTATATTCTAAGTGTGATAGCAAAAGAAGAAAAGAAGGAAGGAAGATAGGAAAGGTGAATAAAGAGAATTGGGACAGGCTAAAATGTAAAATTCAGCTGTGCTGGCTAAATTCTCCCTATCCTGTGGGTTGTGCTGTGTATACCTAAACACAGGGCTTAGGACTCATCCACACTCCCACTTGTCCATGCCTAGGGAGCAAGGATCTGAGCAGTTTCCTGCTTGCCCATCTCCTGTCCCAGGGAAAAACCCACTCTTTAGTGCTAAATTGGAGCAAATGACAAACTGGAGAAAACCCAAATTGCTGTTTGCTCTGATTGAGTGCTAAAGAGCTATTTTCCCTGGAGGAAAACAGCAGGACGAGAGGACTTGTGGATTGCCCTTTAGTGTACCACCCTGCCTAGACTTTGAATAACATTTGTCATCTTTTCGGGCTTCCTGGAAAGCAATGATTCCGGAACAGCCTCTAAGTGGTAACTGTTTTGGTCATTAACCTCAGTTCACTTCATAGATGTGCACTTCATTCTTCATTTATCAGTGAATATGGGTGCTCCGGACAGAATGGGTGGTAGTGGGAGGGGAGCGGTTTTCTTTGGGGGTCTTTCTTGACTTCTCACAAACCCTTTCTAATGGTTTGCAGCTGAGTCAGGGAACAACCAGAAGATGTGTTCTGAACTGACTGTGGTACCTGAGCCATTTTCAAAGGCAGCCCCATGAAGATCCCATTGCGGTAGTCCAGCATCAAGTTCCTCAGGGCATAGATGATTGTGACGAAACTCTCTCTGCCCTGGAATGCAGACCTCTTGGAAGGAAATTTGATATAGACTCTGGCAATGGCTCGCTGAGTCCAGTGGGGCTCTTTCCCATGTAAACAGGCCTAAAATCACAGACTTAGGAAGGAGGGAAGATTCAGGAACAGTCTTCTATACAATGAAAGTGTGGAACCTTGTCTTCTTTTGCATCTGGCAAAAGAAGACAACGCATTGAAAGTCTACTCAGAAGTAAGTTCCTGCAGATATAATCTCACAGCCTTTGTCTATGATCTTTGAGAATTCTTGGAGAACAGGTGAGGTCCTTGCAGACTGGAGGTGAGCAAATGTCCCCATCTTCCAAAAAAAGGGGGGGAGAAGACCCAGGTAACTCTCAACCAGTGAGCTTGACATGGATGGTGCGTGGAAAGCAAGATCATGGCAAAGCATTTGGCCATGCCCTGGAGGAGAGCCATGGCCCAGTGAGCACAGCACACTCTTGCTTTGCATGCAAGAAATCCCTGGTTCAATCCTTGGCATTTCCAGGAAGGGGTAGAAAAGAGTTCCCTTTTAACAGCACCCTTAACAAACTACAGTTCCCAGAATCCTTTGGGGAAGCCATGGTTGTTTAAAGCGGTATGATACTGCTTTAAATGCTTAGTACCAATGAGCTCTCTCTCTCTCTCTCTCTCTCTCTCTCTCCTTTGCCTCCTTCCACTTACACAGGGCTTCTCTTCTTACTTCCATTGCCCTCTGTTTGGGGCTCCATGGAATTAGGCACAAGGTTACAAGTGTCCCACTCCAGGTGGGTCTGACCCAGTATATGGTCACTTCCTATGTCCCTATCCCTTTCTGCAATGATCACCAGAACTGGTTTGTCTGGAGGGGTGGAACCTATGCTGGCAGGGAGCTTGGTGTATGATAATCATGGTGCTTCACTAGCCAGGAAAAGCCATTACATAGACAATGGAACTGGTTTGGCGAGCTTGCTCATATATTACACACACACACACACACACACACACTCACACACACACACAATAACAGGTTTTGGGAAGGGCACTGGGTATCATCCAGACGGACACCCCCTCCATCTCATAACAGTATACTATTTTTTGCAAACGAATTCCCCTAATATAATGCATTTTATATGCTGTTTCCACTAATTCCCCCATGATAATTTTGTTTCTGTTCACATATTGCTTTAAAATGTGTGAAAGAGGTAGTTTGTCATTCAAATGCAAGCAAAATCAAATTTCTCCCCCCATTTCTAGTTCTGAGATATTGCAGGTGTTTCTCTCCCATGATCCTGCACATAGGTCAAGGAAGCACTTACAGACCTATTTCCTTTTATCCCCAGGTTAACACTGGGAGCTGGTAAGTTGCACAGGCTACCCAGTGAGCTTCATGCCTTATCAAGGATTTGAACCCAGATCTGCCACCAACTGCATGCACACTCATCCTGCTAGCTTGACTACTCTGTGTCCTAGTTTCCCTATATGTATAAAAGGAGAATCCTATCTATGACGTGCTTTGAAATCAGAAGTGCAGACATTCTGTGCTAAACGTTAGTCAGCTAGCCTAAGGGGTGGGAAAAGATAACAGCTGGCACAATTTAGAACCACTGAGACTGTAAATGTGTGAAATTGGCATTTCAAAGGATAGAACTGGCACTTGGGAAGAACTGAAGAAAATGACCCTGAAAGAGCAGAGGCATCAGCAAAGTAGCAGGAAGCAAGATACGGGGAAGTTATATAATTCCTGTCCTTAAAAAAGCAAAACAAAACATTTCACCCCATCCTAGACATCAGGGGTTGGGGAATGTGAGACTCTACAGATGTTGTTGGATTCTAGCTCCCATCAGCCCCAGCCAGCATGGCCAGCAGTGAGGGATGATGGGAGTTGTAGTCCAGCAACTTCTGGAGGGTCTCCAGTTCCTTATCCCTGTGTTAAAGGTAGAAAGAACTGGGTTCTGTGTTGGGCTCCAGAGGCTCACAGTTTTCGCCTGCTAAAACGTGTTGATTGGAAAGTCCCATTGATTTCAGTGCAGGGATGGAATTTGTAGGGTGGTGGAAGAAACCGACCTATGCAGATATCTTAAAGAGATGATTCTAGCTGGCTCCTGGAAGGAAAACAGCTGGCGGTCAATGCTATTCCCCGAACTGGATGGAAGTAAGAAGGCAGGCAGGTGGAGGCTGACGAAGGGCAGAAAGGGGTTGGTGGGACAGTGTCCCCATTTGTCCTGACAGGCCAGCCTCTACTGGTAAATGGACACCTGGGAACCTTGACTGATCAAAGCTCTTGGACAGCTGTTTTCCCCCCTGTTTCCGTGGAATAAATCCCCTTCAAATAATACTGTGTGTTTGTTCACTGAAGGATAAAGTGGTGGGAACACTTCTCTCTCCCTCTCTTAAAACATAGGCTACTGTTTATATTTATCAAAGAGACCATCAGAGTAATTCCCAGGAGATGACAGAAGCTTTGGTTGACCAGGCTGCCAGGGAAAGTTTTCAGCTTAATGCGCTGCAACTGTGAAAAAGGAAAATGTCACTCTGTTGGGAAAAGAACTTAAAAGAAAACAGCAGGCCTTGCAGCTCCATTATAGAGTCTAAGAGTGTTTGCAGAACACTCTGTGCTGTTGGAATTACCGCATTTTTAAAATGTTCTGAGAGAGCCGCAGAAGATGCGCACACACAAAATGCCCAGCAAAAAGGATCACATCTTACTCACAGGGAACGACCAGCATCTTCCTTACAAAGAAAGGCTTAAGCCAGACGTGGGGAACCTTCAGCCCTCCAGATGTTGTTGAACTACAACTCCTATAAACCCTGGCCATTGTCCGTGCTTACTTGGGCTGATGGGAGTTGTAGTTCTGGGCCAAAGTTTCCCCACGCCTGCATTAAGCAGCTGCCAATGTTTCACTTGGGAAAGAAGCAAGCTGGGCATGCCAGGGCAGAGAGCTGTGAAAATTGTGAATGATGTGGAGATTGCAAAGGGAAGTAAATGTCAACATACTGTAATCCAATGATTTTGACTTGCTGTTAATCAGTGCTATTGTCTGACAAGTTTGCAAAATCAAAAACTCCAAGAAATGCACAAGTTACCTGTGGGATTCATTGCTATAGGCCAGGGGTGAAGAATGCTTTGTCTTGTTGAAGGCTGCATTCCCTTGGGCAAAACCTTCTTAATTTATGTTTCAACCTCTATCCCGCCTGTTCTTTGAGAAGTTTAAGGTGGCCTTATCCTTCCAGGATCAATCTATACCACTGCCCAAAGAAAGAGAGAGCAGATGCTCATCCTCTCATTCCACATAGGAGAAGGGCCATAGCTCAGTGGCAGATCATCTACTTTGCATGCAGAATGACCCAGGTTCAATCCCTAACATCTCCAGGTAGAGCTAGGAATGTCCCCTGCATGAAGACCTGGAGAGCCACTCAGTGTAGACAGTAGAGATACTGATGGACCAATGATTTGATTCAGCATAATGCAGCTTCTTATGTTCTGGTAACTGCTCACATGTTTGGAAAGAGCATATAAACAGGCAGTGACAGCAAGGAGGTGGAGTGCCAGGGAACTCTTGGGATTGACTATTGGTCTTCTACTGGGATGTGGGCCTCAGCAGATGCCTCACATTGCTGACTCCAAGTACTGGATCCAGTTGTAAGTCATGACCCATTGCTGCTTGATGAACAGGGAACCTATGGGATAAAGCCACCAGACGCTATCCCTAGCTCCCAATTAGCTCTCGTAGTTACTAGGCAACTCTAAATGTGTGCAGCACTCCAAAACTCAAACTCAATTAAAAATATTATGTCTGAAGAGTATATGTAATCCTTTCTGGTTGTCTCCCTGGTGGTTTTTAAAAGAAATCATTTGTGCTCCTCCGCAGCAACTGGGATCTCTGTCATTTTGCTGCTGTTGAGAAAGCTGACTCCGCAGGAGGGGATTTGTTACAATTCTCAACATGCTCAGGATTACATTTGCCAGTTCTGATCATCATATGCAGCTTAACCATAGCTTTCCGACTTGTGCAGCTTTTCCAGCAGGGGTTTCAATGAGAGCAGAGCCAAATTGTCACAGGGTACTTTGCCTTTCCCTACCCTACACCTGAGATATTTTCCACGATTTGCTCTTTCATCTAGGAAAAGAAAGGCAATTTGCAGAATTCCACCCCCCAACCCGAATACTCTCTGCCATTCATTGGGGGGGGGGAGGGAGGTTAGTTGCTTCCATTCCAGCAAGTCTTCCACCCAGCACTACCCTGGAACAATACTAGGTCTGGGCCATAGTGCAGGATGCAAAATGGTGGCAGTGCTGCCAAGCCCACAGCTGAGTGGTCGGGCACCTGCTTTACATGCAGAAGGTTCAATCCTCAGCATCTCCAGTAGAGCTGGGAATATTCGCTGCCTGAAACCCCTGAGATTGGCTGCCGCTCAGTGTTGGCAATACTGAGTTAGATGGGCAGGTGATGTAGGCAGCTTCCTCTATTCTTAAGGCTGTTGCTGGCACTTGCAGCAGAAAACAATTAAAATTTTGGTAGTGGTGGTGGTGCTCATGGTGAGGCCCATCCCCAAGGAACACTTGGAGAATTTCCACACCCCCTGGAGAAATTCACTGGAATTTCTCTGTCTTCAAATAAAGGTAGAGAATGCAAAGAGTTCTGGAACGCTGTGTGTATAGCTCTGGTAGTCACACTTCAAAATATATATTTATAAACTGCCTCTCACATCAAGCACCCACTTATACCTCAATTGCCAGAATTTGTTTCATTTTTTTAAATAAAAAAGTCTGAATAATTATATGCCAAAGAAGTATATTATACTTACAACAATAAAGAGCCAAGAGTTATGTGATTCTTTTCTTTTGCACCATCGTTTTTCAGGTATTACTACACGAGCATTTTAATACAACTGTACGCATTGCTGTTTGCATCTGTTTATGTGCTAGTTACTTTAGGAAACCAGGAGTGTAGATGAGCATCATATTGCCTGCATAAGAAAGTGAGAATTGTTCTCTTTTCCCTTTTTTTCTTTTTGCAGAACCAGTAAAGAAACATCTTCCTTCACACGGAGAGCAAAGAGTCATATGGGAATTAAAGAAAATCCATGCAGACCAGCTTGACATTTAGATGTTCAGAAAATCCCATGAAGTTCACCTAGTACAACCCCTGCTCCACACAGGATCTGCAGTACAGTCTGCAACCAGTGGTGGCTTGTGCCCATTGGGACTGGTAGTGCTGAAGGCAGGGAGACCAACACCTGATGGAGTCAGAGCCAAGGACAGGCAGGGCCAAACAATTGTAGTGCTTCTCTACATGCTCCTCTCTACCGAATTCTACAAGGGCAACACTGAGCCACAGCCACCCCTGGACTGTTGAAGTCAAGAAGTGGGGGTTGGCTGAGGTTGGTGGAGCAGTGCCCCATTTGCCCTGATGAGCCAGCTTCCCCTGACTGCAACGACAGCATCCCTGACAGATGCCTGCCCAGCTTCTGCTTAAATCCCATCAGTCAAGATGAACTCGCCACTTCTGTTTCACTGCGAAACAACTCTTAACATTAGGAAGTGTCTCCTAATGTCTAGCTAGAATATGTGTCCCTGCAATTTCCACCCACTGGTTCTTAAGGTGCACCTCTGTCCCATCCTGTAATGGTTCTAGGGGTTGCTCGTGCGTAAGCCGGTGCTTATCTCCCCGGCTGGGTGCAAACACCTGGCTGGGTTGCCAAAGTGAACCTTTTCTGTCCGGACAGCCACTCACCCGTGGCTGACTCAATCGCTGGCAGAATCCGTCAGTGGGCGTTTCTTAAACTTCTTCCAGCAAAGAAGCTCTTTGACGCTTAGTCTCCTCCTACTCTCTCTGCGCGAAAGCCTTCTGCGCAAGGAGGGAGTGAGCAGCGGAGGACCCCTACTCTCCCCGCTGGTCCCAGGCAAGGAGTCATGGGACCGCCTCACCGCTTCCCCCATCTGCCCCCCTTCTCCACTGGTGCTACGCTGATTCTCTTCCCCAGAAGATGGGCTGCTTCTCCCGATCCCTGGACGCTCTCTGGAATCCCTCTGGCTTTTGCTCTCTCCCTCCGGCACTGATGGCAGTTCCCTGACACATCCCAAAGCAACATTCTTGGAATGGGAAAGCCAGTAAACCTAAATAGGAGGGGGGGAACTTTGGCCCTTCAGCTCCCCACCCCTCTTGTAAGGGCTCCAAGTTGCTGCCCTTGTGCCACTGACACTCTGCTATCTCACCTCAATAACCACCACTGGTCACACATTGCCAGGCAATTTTGGGAGTTTGGGGGAAGAAAATCAGGGGACACATGTGCAACATCCCCCCCAATTTAATTTCCTAAGTAGAATTTGCACTTTCTAACCACAGAATTTGATGACCTTGTTATGCAAAGTTAGAATCTTCTGACTCCAGGAATCTTGTAGCCTTGCCAGAGCTTCCACTTTTGCCAAATACAGAGGGAGGATGTGAATCTAAGGATGACTCTTCTCTCTCTTTTAGATTGTTGTATGCATGAGTACAGATCACTTCTGCCTACAATCTTGGATATTCTACACAAAGCATGACTCAGAAAAAAACATAGAAAAACAGCAAAGGTATAGCATGCAGATCAAGGGAAGTAATAGTACTGCTTTAGCCTGTCTTGGTCAGATCACACCTGCAATGCTGTGTGTAGTTCTGGGTGCCACAATTTAAGAAGGACATTGACAAGCTGGAACATGTGCAGAGGAAGGAGACCAGGATGACCAAGGGTCTGCAAACCAAGCCTTAAGAGGATTGGCTGAAGGAGTAGGATATGTTTAGCCTGGAAAAGAGGGGACTGAGAGGAGATATGATAGCCATCTTTAAATATCTGTAGGGCTGTTGCATAGAAAAGGGAACAAGCTTTTTTTCTCTTGCTCCAAAGGGTAGGACCAATAGATTCAAGTTACAAGAAAAGAGATTCTGACTAAGCATCAGGAAGAACTTTCTGATGGTAAGGGTTGTTCAACAGTGGAATAGACTCCCTTGGGAGATGCTGGACTCTCCTTGCTTGGAGGTTTTTAAAGCAGAGGTTGGATGGCCATCTGTCATGCATTATCTAGCTGAGATTCCTGTGTTGCAGAGAGTTGAACTAGATAACCCTCAGTGTCCCCTCCAACTCTACAATTCCATGACTCTATGAACATTAGAATGAGCATTCTTCACTGCAATTCCCCTTCCAAATGTGTGAATGGTAACAGCCTCTCAACGAACCATGATTTTCATGGGATGCGGGTCTGTGCAGATGTACACATGGGTTGCAAAACAAGTACCTCAAAATAAAAAGCCACTATGAGTCACTCTCGTTTGCCCAAACCCCTTAACACCTGAGGAACTTGCTTTCATGGAGGCTATATATGAGCACAAGCGATGCTAGAAAACAGTTAATGCAAAATACAATTTTGAGAGCGAAGCTCTCACCATAACCCTAAGCATGAGAGTAAAATCATTGCTTGTGCTCCCCTAATTACCTCCACTCAAGATTAAAATACTGGGCTGGATGGAAAAATGATTTGCTTTTGTATACAAGACGGTTTCTTATATTTATTAGACAGTAAGCATTTTGATGGCACAGAGTAAACATTTAAGAAAGGAGCAGAATTCATTCTGTTGATCCAGTGGCAGAATTTATTACATAAGATTGTGATTTCATGGATAATCCTGCTGAGTATGGTTACCCCTGACACTTCAACAAGAGGCACCTGCTGCTGTAAATGTCTCCTTACAATAAAAAGACTGCATTGCTTATTCATTTCATTTATGAATCGCTTCCCTTAAAGCATCCCAAAGTGATTTAACCATAAAAACGCATAGAAAAAACACTTCCAATTTCATTTATTATGAACCAATCCAAGAGTCAAAGGAACATGCCATGTTCAAGATAAGTAGGTGCTTATACATGCACGATACACACATTGTGTATGTACAGTATACTCACACTGCAATGAAATCAGAGTTGGCACTCTTGCATGCAGGCACATGTGGTCAATGTGAAAGAACTAAATCATGTTCCCCCACGCCCAGTTCATAAACACTCAGATCAATATATCTAGTATTCATTGTGCAGCTGGTCTCTCGGATTAGAAGCTACTCCAATAGAAAGGCAATTTCCTGTTATGAAAACAGGAAATTGCCCCCTCCACTCAAATGCACCCACATATAATATCCACAGAATGGACAGAATCATAGAGCCCATACATAAAATCAAAGTCCCGTGCAATGAACTGTGATTGCCTGTCCCAACCCCCATAATAACATATGGTCCTCTTGTTGTTTTGCATTCACAAGTGCACACATTAAGCCTGTGATCCTATGCTTAGTATGCAAGCCCCACTGAATTCAGCTTCTAAGCTGACGTGCCTAGGATCGC